TGCAATATACAATAATTTTGTACTCTTTCTTTCATCCGTTTGGCGGTTATTGCGACTGGAAGATAGGTGAATGAATTAATCTATGGAATGAATAAAAAATAGAAAGATGATAGAAAGTTAGGTTAAAAGCAGTTAAAAGAGTCAGACATATATATACTTTCAAGTAATTTTGCTAAGAATTTTTGTTTTCGTTTCTGTTTAATCTGGTAAGTGATTATATTTTATTGAAATTTAGATTGATAAAATATTTTATATATTACGTGTATTGCAGAGGTAAGGTCCATTTGCTTACAAATTTTAACTGGCAAAATAAACTACTGGAAAATATGGCCCTTTCAAAAACTACAAATACTTATAATCGACAAAATTGGGAGGACTTAGTAAGTATTTTTATATTTTTCCAATAGTTTATATATAAAACATATTTTAATGATTGCAGGATTTTCCTATTTTATGTCAAACATGTTTAGGTGATAATCCATACATACGCATGGTAAGCAAAATGAACAACCAATAATAAAATAAATCTGTATTTTTTTAACAAAACAAAAAATTATTTTTATAGACCAAGGAGAAATACGGCAAAGAATGTAAAATATGTGCCAGACCATTTACTGTATTTAGATGGTGTCCTGGTGCCCGAATGAGGTTTAAGAAAACAGAAATTTGTCAGACATGTAGCAAACTTAAGAATGTATGTCAAACATGTCTTTTAGATTTAGAATATGGACTTCCTATTCAGGTAAGTTGGATATTGATGTTGGTATTTTAGGTTGCAAATTCATAAAAATTTTTATTAGGTTCGAGATTCTGCATTAAAAATTAAGGATGATGTTCCAAAGAGTGATGTAAATAAAGAATATTACATACAAAATATGGAGAGGGAGGTAATACTTCNAAATGCGAAGCTAGCTCAGGATAGGAAAGAGTGGAGGTACCTGTCCAACCAGTCAACGGACTTTACTAATGTCTACCATATCTAATTCTGGTCTGTTCATATCAAATTTTCTAATTTCCCTACTTGCCTCATTTTCTTAATATTCTACAATGCGACTCGTGAAATGTTGCCTCTTCCCCTATTGCACTTATCCGAATGGGGGACGTTTACGTCCGGAGTGCTTTACCCCCAGAGGACGCCATCATTTAATTTGTATAGTTGTACGTTTTACTCGATATCAAAAAGTGATGGTTTCCGTTGCCTTCCACATCACAGTATTGTGGATCAGCGTGCCATACCGATCCTCGTGATCTCTGCTACCCTGAGTATTGAAAGAGCTGCTGTCCTCTTTCAGGGACTTGATTGATTATGATTGAACCTATGGTCCCGCTCCCTAAATCATCGAAACTCGCAAACCGATCCACCCACTCTAGTTTGTACGAGAACTTCGACAAGTTTCAAGTCCCGTCGGATCGGGAGAAAATGATATGAGAAATTTAATAATTACTAAATTAAGAGGCGAAATCTATAAGGAGATTGTAAATACTTTTAAAATAGTCGAGTCGGAGATGAGAGATAAAGAAGATATGAAAAGATCACAAAGTTATGAAGAAGAGAGCATGATAAAAAAATAGAGATATGAGATGGCAAATGAGAAATGAAATTTAAGTATAAATCATAGTTTTAAGAAATTGTATAAGTTCAGGTAATGTTAATGTAATAATGTATTGATAAATATAAATAAATAAAGTATTATTATTATTATAATGTACATTGGTTTTATTTAGATCTCAAAAACAGTTTGCTCTCAAATATTGAGCTAAACATAAAATAAATAATGAATTCCATAGATAAAGCTTATCCATCATCATATTAGATTAATTAAAACAAATCATTATTATTTAAAATTCTTCATAAAAACTGTTTAATGTTAATGTTAAATGTTTGATTACACAGTCATACGTGAATAACAGTTTTTAAATAATTTTGTGGTTTTTAACTCTTTCCATTTATTATTTTATATTCGTTAATCTACATTAATGCAGTATCATTAAAACAATTAAACTTTCTGTAATTATTATTTTTTTTTTTGCTGAAATTTGTATTGAGGTAACCAGTAGATAATACCGTAAAATTTTCAAAGATATTTCTTTAGAAAAGGCGATACAAGAAAAAATACTAACAAAAATACAGTTCTCATCTGTTTCATGTCTAAAATAAAAATTTCATCCGTTTTACTCTGGAATTAATCTGATATTTTTTCCTTAATTTCAGATCTACTAATGATTTTCTTCGACAAGATGAAATTTATCTAGTTTTACCCTCATACTCATTTGTTTCTGTCTGCTAGTCATCATCATATTTCTTTTGATTTTGACCTTCTGATCGTACATAAATCTAATATTCTAACTGAAAAAATCCATTGCATGGCTTTTTTCAATATCTATACCAGTGAGTGAGAGGTATTTCCGATACGTATGCCAAAAATAACAAAATTGGAAGTGAATTAATCTAGAATGGTATGAGGAGACAACAAAAGCCTTGAAGAACAAGCCAAACAGTGAAACAAACAATTGAATAGCGTAATGATAAAGCTGTTTTTAATCATTAATGTAATAATAATTAGCATTAATTGCTACAATTTTAAGTTGCCCGAATTTCTAACTTAATTTATTAATGTTGCAATTGTTAGCTATTTGATAAATATATATGCATGTACGTAGATATACAATAATTAGATGCCTATAATAATAATTTACAAATTTAAGTCAACTTCGCCTGAAGTGGAACTGGAATCAGTTTTTCTCCTCTTTATAGAATGTTACCGACAAAACCGGACACAGAAATTTACCTACTACTATCTGTCGTAAAACAGGAGCTTTTTGGGGAAAATGACTTCATTGAGAAGACGTAATACAGATGAAATTTATCACTTGCGTTGTTTCTACTTGTATTAGGAAGGTACTTACGAATATTTCGAATTTTCTCCACCAATCCAGCATCCCTTAGAGATTTTGGTCCATTAGCTACACCAGGCTTTGTCTGACCTTTATCAAAGGGTACACCTAACACACCAATTTTTGAAGAAATACATCTTCGCGCATCTTGTCGCAAGTTTAACACAACTCTTTGAAACATATTCTCTGGTCTATAATCAAAACATTTCAAACTGTCGCATGTGATACAGCATTACGTTACTTTCTCCATTATACAAGAAAACAGTAGCTCTTGTGACCTCTGCGTATCTAATCAAAATACATACAAACAGGCAACGTAATTTTGATTACTGTGTGTCAATGAAGAATTTTGAGTTTTACAATTTTACATTACGCATTAAACCAATATGATAGCAAGTAAGCCACGAAAACCTATGTTACGAAACATTTTGTATCAAAACAAACAAAAGTACCTATTTGTTTAATTTAAAATGAAACAACAAACTGTTACAAATTTTATTTATTAAGTTACTATTTAGCAAAATTGTTACACCTTACAAAAGATTTTTAAGAACCTTTTGAAGTGAAACTTCTTTACGCACGGTATTAGGGTAAGTTCGTTTCATGCGAGTTGCTATGTATTGAAATCATGCAACGCATTTTCCCCGCTGTCTGTCCCTATGTATGCTTAGATCATTAAAACTACGTAACGGATTTTAATGCGTTTTTTTTTAATAGATATAGTAATTCAAGAGGAAGGTTTATATGTATAATACATGCATAATTTAGTAGAGAAACACTGATAATTTTAGAGGTTTGTAATGTGATGTCGTAAATAAACACATTTTTTTGCGCTTACATTGCAAACGCTGGCTGAACCCTACGAGACAGATCAAAATAATATACTACAGTATTGTACACCTTAAAAAGGTCTACAAAAAAGTCCGGGATGGTATATGTCTATCTCTTAGAAATAACCCACAATAACCATTTTTTACCCTTTACTTTTTACGAGAATTAATGGCTTATTTACGAAGCGATTTTAAGCAAAACAGCATTAATCCTTATCCAATTAAATACTTTTAAATACATTGTGCATTTAATATAGATCAATATGGCCCTTTACAGCATGTAATTTAAATGAATATTTTCGAAGATATTACAGACTTAAAATGCAGGGACATAGC